GCTCTCCAGTATTGAAACAGCATCGAATATTGTGATGAATGCTCACTGCAGGCCAGATCCCATAGGGGAAGAGGTCCGCTCGTCGCTTTTCACGTGGATCGCTGAATCTGACGAAGCATTGAGAACCTCGAGAATGAGTTTTGGACTGAAAAAAAAAAGAGCAAGAACGTTGAGATAGGCCGAGTTCCCATTCCAACGTTCATAATAGAAACCCCTTGGAGGTGTTAGCTTGGATGATCTCCGAAGCGGAGAATGTTTCACGATACGCCATACATATTTCAACAAGTAAAATACAGAGATACAGAGCGCGAACAAAACCCAGACAAATAAGAAGGCCGAATCAGCTGTCTGTAACGTACACGAGACAAACAACGGCCATGCTCATCTAACGTACAGCGTCAACTGATCCCCAGGCTGAAGCTCCTCCAAAGCTATCTGTACATCTTCCGAAGAGTTGACCGCCACCATATCGCCGTCTTGGTCCTTATATTTCAGCCGCACCGGTTCGTCCGGCAGTGGACCGAGGAGGCGGATCTTGCGCGTAATCTTCTCCACCAGCCCATCGTAGTCTATCGTCCGCGGGACCGGCAGGATGAATATGTCTTCGTTAAAGTGCACCTTCACCTTGACGACTTGGAGTGTGGACAGGGGGTTCGTACCGTTGTTATCGGTCTGCACTCGAGGCTGGCTATAGCTGGGAACAGTGTCGCGAGCAGGGGTCGCATGGAGATCGCGTATCTCCGGGGCAGGGCCGCCACCGCCGCCAAAAGATGTGGCAAGAGTCTGTCGATGTTCATCCGTATCGAGCCCGCCTGAGGAATCGTTCGGCTGAGAGGCCAGACCGGATGGTCGGATTAAACCGTTGATCTTCGACTCCCATATCCTCAACTGATCTTCCCAACAGCAGCGGAGCATGAAGCTGTCACGTTCATGGTCCCCTTCTTTCCACGAGACCGTGAGTGAGTACCGTCTCGGATATGGGGAAGCTATATTGGACTGTAACGTTAGATAGATATTGCAAGTTTCAAAACCAAGAAATGACGAACACGACGCGTTCGAGTCCGTCTCCGAGCTTGGCACCACCTGTGTTACACTGGAAACAAAGATCCGACCCTTCAGTAAAAGAGGCGTATTCCTCGCATAAAATGTCTTCCTGTTCGGAGCGTCTTTCGAAATTTCTTTGCACAGGAGTAGAATTTTTTCGAATAAGAAGACGTGATATTCCCGGTCAACGTCCGATTTGTTGACGACAAAGAAGTCGTACAGGAGAAGTTCTCCAAAGTTGTCAACGTTGTGGCCTTTCCAATCATCCACACGCGTCTGCAGAGATTTCACGGTCTGCTCGGTTTCGGCGCGGCGTGCTGCCCCGTTAACCCTGTCTGCGACACGCTTGGAAGCCTCTGAACCTTGTTTCAAAGCGTTGAAATTTTGGTAGTCGGCTGCCCACGAAGCCTTTAGTAACGACTGAATGTCGAACATAATCAGTACTGAAATGGAACGGAGTAGAGATACTCACGTCAAGGAGAAGTGGGTATTTGAAGATACGTCCAACAGGCTTTTTTATGAAGGCGGGCAGTTCCGCCTTGACGTTCATCAAGTGGTTGAGTGGCTGTCGGAAGGTACCATATCAGCCGTATAGTTGTTTTCAGCCCACTGGAAACTCACAGCGAGCTTCTGTTGCACCTCATCTGTGAGTACGAACTCAGAGGAACTGACGTAGTTTGCGTAGTACGGCGCATAAACTTCACCAAATTCCTTTTCCTGATATGAATAAAACGCGACACAGATCAGATCAGATGGGAAAAAAGACAACGATGGACACTCACAGCCTCAAGGAAATGCTGTCCCCAATTCTGGTCTTGCCACGCAAGTTCCGCAGTAGCCTCAAGGCGAATCAAGAATTTGCGCTGGAAGTTGAAAAGCTCGTTTATATTGGGGAAGAGAGAAAGCCTGATATTATCGTCGATCCAGTTGCTCTGCGACAAAACAGTAGCATATTTCTACGGCAGAGTCAGTGAATGGTCATCCTATGCGAGATCAAGCAGAAAACAAACATGCATGAGCTCGATATCCTTTCCGTATTTGCGTTCAGTCTCAACCAGCTCGCGGATGATATTTTCTTGTGTTCTGGTAGGAAGGGCAGGTTTGGGATTATCGGGAGGGTTATCGCGGAGGGCAAGCAGGTTCTTCGACATGGGCAAAGCGGGCACAAGTCCTTCAAACGCATCCGGCGGAAGATAATTGACGATTGCCGTAACGGTGTTGACGACCTGTAACGCTGAGCACGCGGACAGCAGGAATGGGAAACGTACATACTTTGAGAAATCCATCAGTCGAGTTACGACCCCAAAGATCTGTCACAGTAAATGTCTCGCATGCGGGGATTTTCTGCTCGAACTTCTTTGTACGAAGCTGCATAGCAAAAAGAGCAATGGCACGCTTTTTTGCGCGATCAGGATTGGCGGTGTACTGCTCCTGGTTGAACTGGGAGTGGTTGATTTTTGTGAAGCCATCCTCCTCGGGAAGTAGATCGAAGATGTAGTACAGTGGAATACCGAGAGAGAAGAGATCCCAGAGTTGAGTGATAGGGTCCATCGACTGGTCATCTACTGCTGGATTATCAGGATTGGCGAGGGAGAAGTAGTGAGGAAAACCGCGAATCTGCATAAGACGATCGCGAAGGGCGGAGCATTGCTGGAGGAAGGACATAGAATGGGAGAGGCTTTCGTCTGACATGGTAGAGAGAGACAAAGCTGTACACTGGCTGTGCAGTTGCAATTGGTTGCATTATGATATCAGTAACAGTGAGTCAGCATAGCCTCGGCTCTAGAGTCAGTTTCTATTCCATTGAACAGAAAGAGGGGTAAATCAGTGATGGAGTCCGAGCCTCCAGTCATTTCCTCGGACCCACAGGCGGTTTAAAATAAAGTTTGTATCGTTGATTCAAAAATTCAGAGGTTGGTGAATTGCAATTGGTCAAAATACAAACAGGCTAACCTTGAACTGCTTCCAATGGCGTGGGTGAGATTCAATTAGAGGGTCACACGGAAATATGGCAGGTTTGCCTCGGGCATGGACAGCAGACTTCAAGTTGACGATTGGCGTAGACCACACTGGCGTGGGTCATGAGGCTGTACTGTCCAGTTACTCGCAGAGATTAACTAAGCCCGTCAGCGAATTCACTGCAAAAGCGAACCAAGTAGTCCAATACATCCTCACTGAGGCCGATAGCGCTTGCGGTGATGGCATCACGGAAAATGCCGTCAGCAATGTTGAAGGTCATTAGACAGTTGCGATAACAATAAAATCGTACATAAACCGATTCATTAGAACAGCTCCTATGGGGTCATAAACATGAACGTACCGCTGCTGGCCAGGATCACGTCTCGCGGCTGACTGCCGCGACGATCACCGTGTTTTCGAGCGTCCCCGCCTTGATTGCCGCGTGCGCCTGACTCAGGCTACTCCTTTCCATCGATGAAGGTCCCAACGGCATTGGGCTCAGTACACGTGTCGGTGCCATTTTCGCCTCCTGGCGTAGCAGGGAGCCGGTGCTCGTCGTCCATCGTGAGCGTGCCGTTCCCGTCTCTTCCTTCCCCCACAATTGGCACAGATGTAGAGGTCCCAGTGGCAGCCTTGGATCTGGCCGAGCGGCGACGAATTGCAGTTAATGTCCGACCCCAGCGCGACTGAGCACACCGACCGCTACGAGGGGCTCTGGGACCACGAGTACGTCCTGGCGAGCTGGCAGCATGAGAAGGCGACCGGGTTGGCGAGGCAGCTCTCGTAGGATTGATCCCGCCGCAACACGGCCGCGCTGTCTTCGCTGAGCACACGAGGAACTGGACGTTCGGGTTGCAGTTGTCTGTCACAGACCACATGCGCATGTCCGCGATTGTTTGCGCTGGAGATAGAGCAGCGGCATAAGAGTGAGGATGAAAAACATCGTAGGTGCAGGTGCGGTTGGGTTGTGATGAGAGACACTTGGATGTAGTCTTCTTAAGTACTCAGACGCGGCAGGATTTATCCTCGCTCGAATATCCTATTCGACCGGAGTAGTCTGAGACGCCGGTCTCACCACAGTCCGTTGGAGGCTTACCACGGTCCGTTGGAGCAGATTGCGAGATGTGATAATTGTTCACTTTTCTTTGGCTGCCGCCGAGGGAAGAGAGCTTATTGACAAGTGATAAAAAACAATGCTTTGTGTATCATCGTTCAATCCGTTTCGATTATGAAGTGTTAATTTCTCTAATGGAATACGCCGTGAAAAGATCAGAACCGATTTTCAGGTGTGCCAGTGGGGTAGGATTTGATGAGCCGACCGGGGCCATTAAGGTCCCCGGGCGGTCAACCCATACTTTACCGTACTCAAATATATTTGAATGTGGTTGGGCCTGCACCCGAATTGTCTGTTCAAAACGTACTCTGCATACAGCATCGGGTAATTTTTGAGGAGGGACTGGCCGACAGTCGCCTGACTGCAGCTGGTTGAATTTAGTCAAGACCATGACCGAAGTGTATTGATAATAATCAACAGTTACAGGTTTCTCGACAAGTCTTGTCAAATGCGAGTCTCAGGGCCTTAATCTAGAACCCCAAGGTGAGTGACTTTAGTGCTGGCCAAAAATACGATACGAAATTATATTTTTTGAATATATTCAAATACATACGAACACGATACGGCCCCGGGACCTCTGACCGAATATGAATACGGCAGGATATGAATTCAATATGATATGGATACAATAAACAACTAGGTTTTAGGGTGTTTGACTCCCCGCACCCGAATGAAAGGCCTCTGCATCTATTTTTGTTCCTACGATTGAACCGTTGAGGCTTTTGAACTTTAGACTGAAGAAGACAACTCGCACTCTTCACTCGACCACCACCGAAACCCAGATCAACTTGTTGACAATAGGTTATAATTTGTAACCACCGTTTCAGGGATTTTTGACGAGAAATTCATTGGAGGTATCCAGAGTAGGTTCTAAGAGGTGAACTCGGGTGTGGTGTATGGTGCATGGCAGCGCTTTTTCGAGGGGATACCTAGATTGTTAGCTGCAGGGCGGGGTTCGACCCCCTGCACCCGAATCCCTGTTCTACCACTCTTTTTTATTCATTTTCATTTTCGTTGTTATTTTTGGTCTGTTTGTACTTTTACAGAGCCGCTGGTTGGCGTTCTATGATTGAATGTGTGAATGTGTGAACACTGGTGAATATTCAGTGCGAAGCTCTCCCACCATTAACATTTACAGTAAGCAGGGATAAATGATGTAAATTTTGTCGGGTTCAATTTATCTGACATGTCCAGGATAGGTTTTAGGTAGGGAACTCGGGTGTGGTGTTGGTGCACGGCAGCGTCTGTTGGATGAGTGCAACGCGCAGAGCTGTTACGTTTGCACGGGGTTCAACCCCCGCATCAGAATGCTTGTCTGGTGGTCTTGTTTTCTTCTTCGGTTTTTCACTTTCGGTGTTTGCCTCTGTCGTGTATGCAAAGATTTAATTTTTACTCTCTACACGATAACATATATTGCGATCCATGGAATTCTTTTGGCTGGACCAGCCGGGAACGTAGGTGCCGTTGATTCAATGAACAAATCGAAGGACCAGAGTCATAAATTCCACCTACCCTATACTAGTGCAGATGTGAGAGAAGTAATCAGGTGTGGTGTATGGTGCACGGCAGTGGTCTTTCCGATTCTATGATGATGGCGAATGTAAGCTGCAAGACGGGGTTCGATTCCCCGTGCCCGAGTTCTTTCCCTCTCTACCTTTCTTTTCTTTTCGACGTTTCGTTTTGGGGTTTAAATTTCTTTCGTTGAGTTTAGTCCCACTCGACAGTCTCTCAGCCTAAAGATAGATATTTGTCCGCACTATTAATTGCGAGCGAAGATAATGCAGTGGATTCAAGGATACTTAGCTTTTACATACTCAACTGGAAGGACAGTAGTCATAAGATCAATCAGATAGTTATGCTGATGCAGAGGGAAGGAGTCGGTTGTGGTGTATGGTGCACAGCAGCATTTCTTGAACGATCACATGGGCGGGGTTCGACTCCCGGCATTCGAATAACTGGATCTCGATCCGTTTTTACTCCTTTCCGGCGTTTAACTCTACGATGGTTGGGGTTTGGAACTCAATATCTGCAACTCAAGCTCGGTAGCATAGGAATTTTGAGACGGCAATGAATAATATTAACGAGATCTAGAAAATGGGTGAATTGTGAAGCACGGAACGCGCCCGGCGTTGGATTACATGTTGTGAGATCGTTACAAAGAAGCTTGAAGACATGGCTTGCACGGTCTGGAAATACAGTCGACCAATTGCAAGGAGAAAGCGTCCGCGGAAGGCCGTCGATCATCGAGTGTTCCGAGATTGCCCGACAGTACTAGTTGGAGCAGTGAAAGCACTCATTGAGATGCACCGGGAGCACTTATGGAGATGAAAAAGCGCTGCTCGTTTGTACTGTTGCCAGCAGCGACGTCGACGACCAGCGATTCGAGCAGGCAACTGCACAACCAACGTAGATCAGAATGAGTGGTGAGAGTCATTAGAAATATCAATGGTGTGCGGTGACCGTGCGTGCGACTCCTAATCAGTCAGGATACGGCGACGAGCGGGCTCAGCTCTGAGAAGAAAAGCCGAACAGAAAGGTCATCCGCTTTGACGCAACCGGCGCTAGGCCGCCGCCGCCGATATCGGCCGAACCCGATTCGTCCGAAGAATGCTAGCTGTCTGACTCAGCGGGGAATTGTGTAAAATGCGACGCCTGAGCTGAACGGGACTCTGAGCTGCGAGTCGCGCATATCCCGCAATCCGTATAAAAAGGTGGTCGTCGTTTTGAGACGATCAGACAACGGTCACGACAGTTCTTATCCCCAAACAGGCGTACTTAATCGATGCTCCGTTCTTCTTTCTTGCTACGACCACCATCTCGATTACTCAGCAGAACTATGCGCCTCCTTACACTCGACTCGGTCAATGCCCTGGCAGCTTTTGACGGTGCAGTACGCCGTGCGCGGCGAGCTTGCCATCAAGGCCGATGTTCTGCGCGAGCAGCTCAAGACTCCCAGCCATGGCCTACCCTTTGACAAGGTCATTTCCAGCAACATCGGGGACCCACAGCAGAAGGGGCTCGACCAGCCTCCGATTAATTTTACGCGCCAGGTGCCGTCCTTGCCAGCTACTCGGTCCTGATGATTGAATGCGCACAGGTGGCAGCCCTCATGGAGTGGCCCGCCCTTGCCGACCTCGCCTCCGGCATCTTCCCCGCTGACGTCGTCGCCTCGCAGAGGAGCCCAGCGCGGAGTTTGGCTCCGTAGGCGCGTACTCACAAAGCCAGGGCGTGCCGTTTATACCCAAGAGTGTGGCAAAGTTTTTCGAGGGTGCGTGTGCTTGTGCTTCTCTTTCTTTATCGATAAGTGTCCTCTCCTCCGCCCTGGGACAGAGCTGGAAATGAGCAGTCGCGTCATCTAAAATGAAAGGCGTCGCGGAAAATGCCAACGTTGAACTCGATAACTTAAAACTCATCCTATTTCTTTCCGAACTCTAAAATATTCGGCAGTTGATATAGGTATGAAACCCCGATTATCTCGACGGATTAAGCCACCAGCACCGCCCGATACCTCACGCGACCCTCGCGGAGTTTCGTCATGCCCTCCTCCACACCCTCTTTCGTCAAAGGGAAGCGCTCGATAATGGGCTTGATCTGATGCAAAGCCACAAAATCCAACATTTTGACTTGCACGGCGCGTGATGCTACTGCAGAACCCTGGATGCGGAGGCCCTTGACCACAACCGGCATGTTGGGTATCACAAGGTCGGTCCCGCTGATGGTCAACGGGTAGATACTTCCCATGGAGCTCATGATGTTCAGGAATCTATAAGCACGCCTCAATCAGCGGCTGAAGACTGGCGGAGATATTAAAATATTTACAGCGTCCAGTCAGGCAAAAAGCTCGTGGTAACGAGCAAGTGGTCAAGCGGTGCGCCAATGTCGAGCGCCGTGACGCCTGCAGTCGGGTAGAACTCCGCTGCCCCGAGACGGAGCGCCTCTGCGCGTTTCTCCTCGGTGCTGGAAAATACGACGACGCGCACCCCCATCTTGGCGAGAAACTGGATCGCGAGATGGCCCAGGCCACCAATGCCCACGACGCCGACGCGGTCGGTGGGACGGATGTTGTACGTGTCGATCACGGTAAAGATGGTGGCTCCTCCGCACATGAGTGGTGCCGCGTTCTCGGGTGCGATGGCTGCCGGAATTTTGAAGAGCCAAGACGCGTCCCAGATCGCATGGGAGCCAAAGGAGCCCTGATCAAAGTTGTGCGTCTCGTACCTGTTCCGGCGAAAATCAGTCCTAACTCTAAGAGACCATAAATTCGGTTGAAATGACTGACATCTCGGCCTTTGTGCAATAATTATCGTGCCCTAAATTGCATGGTGAGTTAGTAACTCGCGGCATTCGAGTTTGACGCGCAAAAACTCACCCGCCATGCAATGGACGCATGAGCCACAACTCTTGTGTGTGTACCCCCACCCGACGATATCCCCAACCTTGAGCCCTTTGACGAGCTCTCCCAATTTCTCCACTGTCCCCACGCCCTCGTGTCCCAGCACCATCCCTGCGTGTTTGAAGTGTTCGTCTGTACCGCAGATCCCAGAATGGGTGATTTTGACTAGAACTTCGTTCCCGGTTGGGAGGTCACGGTGGCTCGTCGCTTTGACGATCCCATCGTTGGGTGAGCCTTTGAAAACAGTGAAGTCGATTCCCATCTTGTTTAATGCTGAGGTGTTGGAAGAACAATATCCTCTCGCATTTTTAAAGGCACTCCGGAGAAGCTAGGGTGCTTGATAAGTTTCTCTCGATTCCAGTCAGCACCATATGCGGTGAGATTCGGGCGACTACAGTAACTAGTTGTTACAGCTCTTTGCGGTACAACAGGCGCAGACCGTTTTTTCTTCCTTTTTGGGCATTTTGTGATCCCCGCGACTAGGACACTCGTTGCGGCCTCAATTCTCATCTGTTTGCCTTGTCCATAGGCTCATTCGAAGCGCATTGCAAATTCGCACACAATAGCACCCTCAGATTTTCTGTCTTGCATTGAAAGCTGCTTCTTGAGGCATGAAATCAGATTTTTGGTGACTTTTCTGAGAATTTCCCACTAGAACAGCTGTTCTGCCCTCAGTTCTTCGCCTTTTCCCTTGAATATAGGCTCAATCTCTCCGTGTTTTAATTTCAAAGCGAACCGCCGCCTCAGATTCGTTATTATAACCCTGAATACCCCGACTCGACACAGAAATTCCGCAACAGATCATCACGTTTGATCAGTGGTCGGCAGAACAGTCGCTGCAGACTCGAATGTTGCTCAATTGTTCCCCCCATAGGCTCATTTTCTTCCCCTGACAAATGCGCATGAGGACACATCTTCATGTTCCTCAGAATATGCCCACAGGCCATCCGTGACAGAAGTCTTCCTTGCTAACCATGCTTTTTTTGCTGAACGGCATTGAGGACCTTCTCGGATGCCCACTGACCAATATCTGTCTGGATATCGCACCTCAGGCCATTTTCCTGGATGTAATGTGTACTTATATCGACCCGACGCATCCTATTTCATATTTTCCATGTATTTTCACCTGGAATGAGTGAAAAAAAAAGAGATTTTATGAAGTATGTGATTAGGAATTCTGAGGAGACAGTTCGCTGCGGATTTGAAACACGAATCAAATGAGCATAAAGACGAGGGAAACGATGAGGATTCGAGACTGCAGCAACTGTTTGACTGACCGCCAATCAGAAGTGATGACCCGCCGTCAATATCGTGTCCCCAGGTGTCCTATTTGGGACCAGGATGGAATTCCGAGGAGGCGGTTCGCTTTGCATTTGAAATGCGGAGAGATTGAGCCTATACTTAAGGAAAAGGCCGAAGAACTGAGAGCAGAACAGCTGTTCTAGTGGGAAATTCTCAGAAAAGTCACCAAAAATCTGATTTCATGCCTCAAGAAACAGCTTTCAATGCAAGACAGAAAATCTGAGGGTGCTATTGTGTGCGAATTTGCAATGCGCTTCGAATGAGCCTACGGACAAGGCA